TAATTAATAACGGAATTTTTTTTTTCATAAAATTCAGAAAAATGTCCTTTATATTTTAAAAGTGTGTTTTTTAGAAATTAATAAAAGTTCTTTAAATCTGAAAAATGAAATAAATTTTAAAGAAAATTATTTTTTTTACTTATTTATTATTCTTAGTAATTAAATTTATTCATGCGCTTTTTTTCATCAGAAAATTATATATATCACTGAACAATTAATAAAATCAACAATTAGAGTATTGCTCGTCCTTAGGCACTACTTTTCTGCATCACCCTGGCAAAACACTAATTTCTTTCCAAACTAAGAGAGAGACTGTTTATGATTCAAGCCAATTTTTTACTTTTTTTAAAGAAGGAAAATACTGCCGATATAGCCAATATCTCCATGTACCGTCTATGCAAACAAGTGAATATTAGAAAAAAGCCATATCTGGAATGTATAGTGAGAGAGTTAGGAGGAATTTTCACCGAGCGCTTCCAAATAGTTTTTAACTTACTTCGCAACGTGTGGCCGAGTATTCCTTTGGAGAGAAATGATTTTTTTGTCATGTATTATGACCGATTTTCTTTCAATATTCAGTTCAGTCACATCGATAGCAGTTGAAAACGTTCACCAGAAATGGTTGCAACAGATTTTAGCAGCTCATAATTTTATCGGACTGCTATTGGTCTTTCGTATCACAATCACAGTCTTTGTATCATTTTACCATAGGAGGAAACAAGTGAATATTAGATTGGATTCGGTTTGGTTTATCGCTCTTCGGTCATTTTGTGCACACTTTGGCCTCAATAGACACAGACTCGAACCACTATAAATAGCCATGCCATGGCCAGGATTCTAACCTGGTGAATATTAGAAGAAAAAATGTATGGAGAATACGGCGAGAGAGGTAGGATTTCTCATCGACGCGTTGACTTCGCACAAAGTGGCCGAGCATTCCTTTGTTGAACATTATTTTGTCATGTATTCTGATCAATTTCATTTAAGTATTCGTCTCAGTCACATCAATTACAGTCGAAAACATTCACCAGTAATGGATTCACCAGATTTTAGTAGCTCATAATTTTCTCCGGCTTCTTTTGGTCCTCCTTACTAAAATCACCATCTTTAAATCATTTCAACCCTTTTTTGACAAATTCTTTCAGCTAGTGAATGTTCCCTGTGAGTTTCCTCAATAATTCGATATGCTTCAATTGCACCTCTCTTGCTATTAAAACAAATAAATGAAACTTCTCGTAAGTGTTCTTTTTATGGAACAACATTTAACTTGCCCAAAACTAAGAAAAAAACTATGTTTCTTGTATTTAAACGAAATGGTGCATATTAAACAATGGCAGTTGTTTAACATGAAGTAGTAATTAGTCTAGTTAATAAGGTAATAAAAATGACACATACGAAATGGCCCATGAAAGCTTAATGGCAGTTGTTTAACAGGAAGTAGTAATCAGTCTAGTTAATAAGGGACATACGAAATGGACCATGAAAGCGTAATGGCAGTTGTTTAACATGAAGTAGTAATCAGTCTAGTTCATCTGGTAATAAAAATGGTACATATGAAATGGCCTATGAAAGCGTAATGGCAGTTGTTTAACATGAAATAGTAATCAGTCTAGTTCATCTGGTAATAAAAATGGCACATACGAAATGGCCCATGAAAGCGTAATGGCTTTTTTTTTTTACATGAAATAGTTATCAACAATAAAATAAGATTTGCATTAATTAAGTTTAATATCTAATAGTTTAGAAATCTTCCTAAGAAATGCTCTAAATAATACTCCACCTATTACATATATATACTAGTAGTTTTTCAGAATGAAATCAAATGATTGATTTGAAAACAACATGCATTTATAGTGTTCATTCTATCTTCGTAGAAAAACATAAAAAAAAATGGTACAAAATATCTAATAAAAAGACAAAAAATCATTCTAAAAAAAATTCAGTAAATGTTATGAAACAATTACATCTTTGACAAAATCTAATACATTTAGCCAAGCCCTTTTTGAAATCGATAACATTTTCGTTTTTTCTTTAATCTGAGTGAAGTGTTGAGTTTTCAGCACATGACATCTCTACACAGTTTGATCAAAAGAGCAGAGACAGCTTTTGCAGACACGGAGCTTGTCCGACACGTAAGCTCAGAAGTCGGAAGCTTGTCATGAAAACTGATATCGGAACCTGGCAAAAAAGACACTGTCCGAGCAGTGATGGACGCGAGTTTCACTGTGCTTTGGAAATGGGACAAAAAATAGAATTTATCAAACAGAACAATTGGATCTTCTAACGAAATAAACGTTTCAATCACTGAGGGATTTCTATTAAATTTAAAAAGGTATTCAATTTACTAGATACAAATTAAATTCAAACTGTTTGACATTTCTACCATTTGCATTTTAAATTTTCAGATTATTGTTTCTGCAATATAACATAACTTTTAAGGAAATAATGAATTATTTATAATTTATTTTTTATTTTTGCTAGATTTAAAAGGAATAAGGTAGAAATTATTAAAAGTACAAGTGTAGACCCTCTCTAAGGGACCTGATAGCCGGGATACTAATGCGGTACCACAGGGTTTGGATTCGAGTCCTGCGGTGCCATGGATGCTTGCATTGGGCCAGAATCCCCTTTAAACCGTAGGTCCCAGCCAATATGAGAAAAAAGTGACGAAGAAAATTTGCACATGAAAGCCTAATGGTAGTTGTTTGACATGAAGTAGTAATCAGTCTGGTTCATCTGGTAATAAAATAAGTTTAATATCTAATAATTTAAAAATCTTCCTACGAAATGCTCTAAATAATACTCAATCTGTTACATATACATAGTTTTGCAAAATGAAATCAAATGATTGATTAGAAAACAACACGCATTTATAGTGTTCGTTTTACCTTCGTAAAGAAAAAAAAGGTAAAAAATTTTTAATAGAAAAGACAAAAAAATCGCTAAAGAAATTTCAGTAAATGTTATGAAACCCTTACATCTTTGAAAAAAATATAATACATTTAGACAAACTCTTCGCGAAATCGATAATATTTCCTTTTTTTCTTTAATCTGAGTGAAGTGTTCAGTTTTCAGCACATGACATTTCTCCACAGTTCGATCAAAAAAGCGGAGACAGTTTTTGCAGACACGGGGCTTGTCCAACACGTAAGCTGATAAGTCGGAAGCTTGTCAGGAAAACTGACGTCGGAACCTGGCAAACAGGTCACTGTCAGAACATTTGATGGACGCGAGTTTCACTGTCCTTTGGAAATGGTACAAAGAATAGAATTTGTCAAACAGAAAAATTGGATCTTTTAACGAAATAAACGTTTCAATTCACTAACAGATAGTGAATTTAATACTTTTTTTAAATTTAATAATATTAAACAAGTAATATAAAAAAAAATATTTTTTTAAATCAATTCCTACTTCGGTCAACAAAGAAATTTTTTATTTTAGTTATTTTTTATTAAATAATTACAATTAATATAAATATGTATATATATATATATATATATATATGACAGAATCACAATATTAAGTGGCAAAATGGAAAACGAATTTCCTTGCAATTTTCCATTTTCCTTTTTATATTTTTTCCCATAGAAAACAAAAATTCATTCATTAAACTTAATGAATGAATTAATATTTGAAATAACAGTATTAAGATCCAGTGTCATCTACTACAAATTCAAAAAAAGTGTATTTGAATTTGAGTGGATGAATAAAAAGTATTTTATGAACTATTGAAAATTTGAACAAGATATATACACTGAAGTGACAAAAGTCATGGGATAGCAATATGCAAATATTCAGATGGCAGTAGCATCGCGTAGAACAGGTATAAATGCGCAGTGCTTTCGCAGAGCTTTCATTTCTGTTCAAGTTATTCATGTGAAGAGGTTTTGACGTGATGATGACCGCATGACGGGAATTAACAGACTTTGAACGCGGAATGTTAGTTGGAGCTAGACGCATGGGTCATGCCATTTCGGAAATCGTTAGGGAATTCAACATTCCCAGATCCACTGTGTCAAGAGTGTGCCGAGAGTATGAAATTTCAGGCATAACATCCCACCATGGACAGCGCAGTGGTCGACTGCCTGCACTTAACGACCCAGACCGGCGACGTCTGCAAAGAGTCGTAAATTCTAACAGACAAGCAACACTGCGTCAAATAACCGCAGAAATCAATGTGGGACGTACAAGGGACTTGTCTGTTAGAACTGTGTGCAGAAATTTGGCTTTCTTGGGCTATTCCAGCAGAAGACCGACTCGAGTGCCTTTACTGACAGAACGGCATCGCTTGTAGCGACTCTCGTGGGCACGTGAGCATATCGGTTGGTCCCTAGATGAATGGAAAACCGTGGCCTGGTCCGATGAGTCACGATTTCAGTTGGTAAGAGCTGATGGTAGGGTTCGAGTGTGGCGCAGACCCCACGAAGCCATGGACCCAAACTGTCAGCAAGGCACTTTTCAAGCTGGTGGTGGCTCCGTAATGGTGTGGGCTGTTTTTTCATGGCATGGACTTGGTCCTCTGGTGCGACTGGACCGAACATTGACTGGAAATGCATATGTTCAGCTACTTGGAGATCACTTGCAGCCATTCATGGACTTCATGTACCCAAACAACGATGGGATTTTTATGGATGACAATGCGCCATGTCACCAGGCCACAACTGTTCGCGATTGGTTTGAAGAACATTCTGGACAATTCCAACGAATGATCTAGCCACCTAGATCGCCCGACATGAATCCCATCGAGCATTTATGGGACATCATCGAGAGGTCTGTTCGCGCCCAAAATCCTGCACCATCAACGCTTTCACAATTATGGACGTCTATCGAGACAGCATGGCTCAATATTCCTGCAGAAGACTTCCAACGACTTGTTGAGTCCATGCCACGACGAGTTGCTGCACTTCGCCGGGCGAAAGGAGGGCCGACACGATATTAAGAGGTATCCCATGACTTTTGTCACTTCAGTATATATATATATATATATATGTATATATGCCAACGGCCATAACATGCTGAATATACCGGTTCTCGTTAGATCACCGAAGTCAAGCATCATTGGGCGCGGTCAGTACTTGTGTTGGTGACCACCTGGGAACACCCCGTGCCGTTGGCATTCACAAATTTGGGACCTGAATGGCCGAGTGTCTAGCGCTCTGGCGCTCGGTACCACAGGTTTCGGGTTCGACTCCCGGCGGTGCCATGGATGTTTGTAGTGGTTCGGAATCCACTTTAAGCCGTAGGTCCCGGTCTCCCATGACTGTAAGAGCATCACGGAGCCAAAGTCAGGCTTCTACCTACGGGTGCTCCATCACAACAGAAGCTGCTTCCTTCCCCTTCAATCATGAGTACGTATGGGCTCGTGGGCTTGGCCAGCCAAGTGGGATAAGAAACAACAACAACATATATATATATATATTGTATTTATGCCTAGGTTTCCATTAAAATTCAGATGTAGTTCAATGCAGTGCATAGTTTTTATTGACCTTCAGTAACCCAGAACTCTTTATAATTAGACAGGTATCCGTTATCCTGGATGTTGAGTTATTGAGGAATAAAACTCTGGCTTAAACCAATTTCTGTTTTAACCATTTTATTAAGCGAGAAAAACTTTTGTAAAATTTTGTAAACTTTTGCGAGAATTGTTCTTTTTTTTTCCATTCTAATTGGAAAAGTTTTACGACTGATGATAAAAAGCAAAACTCGAAGACAAAAGTGTGTTAAGATTTCCAAGCACTTCTTGTTTATGAAACCTTCTGAAGAGAATATTGTTGGGAGGAGGAACACAAATGAATAGCAAAAAATTGCTCATGGACATCAATACTTATTGTAGACATGGTGGAAAACCTCGAATAATAGTGATGAAAACGATGTCCTTAAGAATAAAATGACATATTCCGAAGATCTAAATTATATTGTAAAGCTATTAAATATATTGTACAGCAGTCTGATGGCCAATTGGCTAGCGCTCTGGAGTTAGGGGCCACAGGCTTCAGGTTCGAATACTGGCGGTGGCATGGACGTTTGTGAGGGGTTTGGAATCCACATTAAGCCGTATGTCCCGGTCTAATTAGCCTAAAGTTTGCAAAAAGACTTTAAAGCGACAAACCACGCAGTAAATATGTTGTACACCAAAAATAGGCTATACCTACAATTCTAATAACTTTCATACAATAGTGTAATGTTATATCAAGAAAAAGAGTGTCACTCCGCAAACAAAACAAATAACACAGATTTCATTAAATGAAACGTTTATTCCCATTTTTTTATGAAAACATTGGAAATATACATCACAAAGACTATAAGTTTAGGTGGTACCATAAAAATAAATTATGTGTAAATTTATATTTCAACTCCTTATTTAGCGATTATTTATGTAAATCGGGTTTATCCAAGTATTTTACTTATTCTTGGTGAGCTTGATCCATATGAACTCTGATACTTGAGTCTTAACTGCATCTCAAATATACCACCGTCGAATTTCGTGATCATCCAAAGACTTGAAAATGAAATCCTACTTATGATTACAAATTTGCAATGTTTTTTCCGAAAGGAGGATATCAGACATGCTCTTTTCCTCCTAAGTTTTAAATAATTTGTTTATAAAATTGCACAACAATTTTATAACTCCATTCCCAATATTAATAATTCTGTTTTGAATGATCTAAGCAACTATGATTACGACATTTCTGATGTCAAAAATCGCAAATGACCTCGCGCTGTTTTGAATATTATTCATTAGCGTTTCGATATCCACCTTTTCAAATTACCATGCAGTTACTCCACTGAGTCACAATTTCCCCTCCAATTGTTTTTGTTTCTATTGTTTTTTTATTACCTTCTTAAAAATTATAATAATATTTAAAAAATTATGTATGCATAAATTTTTTTATTAATTAAAAAATTAAAAATAATAATAAGTTAATTTTTTTTAATAAATTAATAATATATATATATATATATTATTAATTTATTTAAAATATATATATATATACATATATATATATATATATATATATATATAACAAAATATAAAAATAAATATATATACATCTTACTCCTTTTCTATCTAATTAATGGGCTTAAAGCTTATGAAACTTCTATTCACAAAGCAGGAGAGAGAGGTTGCTAGGCAACCAAGGCCTCCGTCAATCTCGCAAAATCGTCGTCGTCGTCAAAAATCTTTTTTTATAATCGTGTGTCAAAAAAGTTCTATGCTGTTTCATGTTTAAAAATTATCTTTGTTAACCAAGCTTAAAAGATAGTTTATTACACTTCAAATAACTTCAAAATTGTTAATGTATTGTTTTGTAATTCTTCGTAAGCAAATTTTTGTAAAACTTGATGATTATGATGATCAAGTTCTTTAAAATGAAGCTTTTTCGTGAATAATTTAATGTCGATTTTCTTAATAACAGTAGTTATAATATTCTGTTTTGTAAGTTAGTTGTTTACAATCAAGAAATATGCTACTTAAATGCTTTGAATAAATTTTATTCATCCAATTTAATTTACACATATATATATATTAATTGCATTTTTTCTATGCACGGCCACAATTCACATCAAAATTCACAGGGGTACTTCTAATTCAAAGCGTAGATCAACTAAAAAGATCAAATTTCGAAGTGGAACAATATTCGTTAAGGAATTATTCAATTAGGTTTTACGCCAATTTGGCGACTTTTCGTAGTTGGGTGAAATTTTAATGGTTGCCGTTGGGTTTTTTTTTTTTTTTTTTCCTAAAATTGTTAAAAATTCATACTGTCTTTTCTTTTAAATATTTGTTATTTATTAAAAATTGTATTTATTTAAACCTTTTTATTGTATTTTTGTATTCTTATTTTTTCATTATTTTTTTTAATTTCATATAAAGGTTTTTTTTTTCATTATATGTTTTAGAATTATTTACAAAACTAATTTCAGGAAGATGTTTTTTGTCTTGATTTCTACATATCAAGGTAATATTAATCCAGATAAACAAAAATTTTATAAAACATTCACAAGAGGTGTTTTTAAAAAGCAAATTCTAATTCACACATTCACACATATGAATATAATAAGCAAATGGTTCACAAAAAAATAAATAAACAGCTAGGTCTTGTTAGCATTTAAAGATTTCAGAAAAGTACATTAAAATGACACAATTTATTCTTTGGAAGAAAAAAAAAAAGAAAAAATTAGGCTAAATGTTAAAGAAACCCACTTTGAGAAAGAAAAAAAAAAAAAAAAAAAAGGAAAATTATCACTATTTAGCAATTTTACTTTTCTTTCAAATGTTATTTTTAAAATTCGTTCAATATATTTCAGTCTTAAATTCTTAAGGAATGGAAATGTTTAAATAAATAAAATATTAGTAAAAAACTAATATAATTAGTCTGTGCTATTGAATCATTGTTTTTCCGATAATAAACCCTTTAAAGTTGCAATATTCCAAAATATTGGGTACAAGTCAATAAACTCCGAACTTATCATGTACATCTATTTATATCCATCTATTTTTTGAATAAAGGGACTTCACTCTATCCATCTTCAGGATTCACACTTTATCCATAAAGTCAAAGTACAAATCTAAATAACATTAATATTGTGGCATTTTTCCTACGGGAAGAGATATAGCATTTTCGTTTCCAGGGGAAAGGAATGTATATTCTTTAACAAGTGCATAATAACACCCCATTACTCAAATCTGACAGCAGACAAGTAGTATCGTGTATATTTACATTACTTGTAATTAGTGTTTTGTACTAATGAGAACAACCCGTCACAAATCTTACAGCACATAATCAGTGTCATCGATAATGAGACCTCATGAAATCAGCGATTATCTGTGCAACCTCCCCAGGTCGAAACAATTAGAGATAGGATATGGACTAAGCCATGAGTTACTGCATTGGGATGGGTAATAGACCATGGTCTGAGGAAGTGTAGACTTCAATGAGAAGTGAGGCAATCTGTCAAGAGGGAGACCCCATCTTGACGTATTTTTCTAAAAGGAGCTTTTTAGAGAAGTTAAAAAAAGACAGTTCTGCTACTAGTCAAGAAATGTGGTTTTTCTCTTTTTCTGGAAGTGATTGAACAGGCCAGAGATTCCGTCTATTTCAAAGAGGGCCCCTTGTGGTTTCATGTAACGTGCCGTGTGATAATTAAGGTCTGCCGCAGACTAGATGGTAGTAGTTTCGTCGTAGACTCAAGAACTCTGAAAATATCAGTCCTTGGAGAGAAAAGCATTTGTGAATCTAGTTTATGTTTTCAATTTTCCTTTATTTGTAAATAGTGATTATATATATATATATACACTGAAGTGACAAAAGTCATGGGATAGCAATATGCAAATTTTCAGATGGCAGTAGCACCGCGTAGAACAGGTATAAATGCACAGTGCTTTCGCAGAGCTTTCATTTCTGTTCAAGTTATTCATGTGAAGAGGTTTTGACGTGATGATGACCGCACGACGGGAATTAACAGACTTTGAACGCGAAATGTTAGTTGGAGCTAGACGCAGGGGTCATGCCATTTCGGAAATCGTTAGGGAATTCAACATTCCCAGATCCACTGTGTCAAGAGTTTGCCGAGAGTATGAAATTTCAGGCATAACATCCCACCATGGACAGCGCAGTGGTCGACCGCCTGCATTTAACGACCGAGACCGGCGACGTCTGCAAAGAGTCGTAAATTCTAACAGACAAGCAACACTGCGTCAAATAACAGCAGAAATCAATGTGGGACGTACAAGGGACTTGTCTGTTAGAACTGTGCGGAGAAATTTGGCTTTCTTGGGCTATTCCAGCAGAAGACCGACTCGAGTGCCTTTACTGACAGAACGACATCGCTTGCAGCGACTCTCGTGGGCACGTGAGCATATCGGTTGGTCCCTAGATGAATGGAAAACCGTGGCCTGGTCCGATGAGTCACGATTTCAGTTGGTAAGAGCTGATGGTAGGGTTCGAGTGTGGCGCAGACCCCACGAAGCCATGGACCCAAACTGTCAGCAAGGCACTGTTCAAGCTGGTGGTGGCTCCGTAATGGTGTGGGCTGTTTTTTCATGGCATGGACTTGGTCCTCTGGTGCAACTGGACCGAACTTTGACTGGAAATGCTTATGTTCAGCTA